TTAGTTTCTTAGAGTAACTGAATTTCCAAGTTCATGGATTCGAAAGCATTTATTATAAATAACCTTTATTGAATAGGTGCCTTACATAAAACTGTATAATAGGTTTTCTCATTAAGACATAATCAAACTTAAAGAAAATTAACTAGATAATACGCAAAAAGTAAGCTAATTTGCACCAAGAGTAATCTCTGCGAAATGGCTGTACCCTTTTAAGTGCACGAAATCGTTCAAATAACTTGTATAAAAAATATTTCAAAACCATTCATTGTATTCTCACGTTAGATTGTGAACATACAGAAATAAAACTTGTCAAACAAGGCTGGCTTTTTAATATATTTTTTATTTTGATCTTAAGAGATTTTCGAGGGTATAAGTTGGTGTCTGGAGGACAGAAACCGTGATCCCGGAGCTGGTCTCAACAGTGTATAAGCATCGCAATACAGCGAGAAAATGCTGCCAGCATAAAAAATACTTCATCAATATTTTTTTTATAGAACGGGTAGCAAACCCGTTGTTAGCATCGAGTGAGCATCCTGTCGGTGAATGGTGCTGCTACCCACGGATACTGACAACTTTGTAAGATTCACGTGTCTGACTGGCAACGAGTCTTTTAAAAAAAAGAACGCTCTTTTCTTAAAGGACTATAAATAGAATTGGTTCGGGAATACCCCAACGGGCAGTTGGTTTCATTTAGTCGTGGTGCGCTCCTAAAAGTAAAGGATAATTTATATTTTTTTTTAAATAAGATGTTACGAACCCTAGCGAGGATATAAATATATTTTCAATGCGCGCCACCCTAACATAATACGTGTGTATTATAGCTTGCGCGAGCGAGGATAGGAATATTACAACTCTACAGTAAAAACTTGAAAGGAGTCGTAAGTTCGTGTTTATGGCATAATGCAAATTTGAATGACCATAATGACATTTGTCATTTACTTTTAAACAAATAAAGGAGTTTTAATTATTTTTTCAAAGAAATTTAGCGATTTTTTGAATTATAATCAGAAGTGATTTAAATTGAATATTTAAACCAATACTAATTAATATTTGTGAAAAAAACTGTGCTAAATCAACCAAGTGCTTCAATACAATTGAGGTTAACTATCCATTATTATTATTATTATCGAGAATGTTTTGATTAAAAATTAACCACATTTTTAATCAAAACATGTATTTTGATTTTATCTAGCAAATAAAGAAAAAAAAACAATTGATGAATCAGTGTAACTGCACTAAATTGAATACAAAAAAAGATTTTTTTATCGTGAAAATCAAAAACTGGAGGTGGAACAAAGCCAAACTATTTTTAATATTGCCAAAGAAGTATAATTTTCGCGTACATAAGTACACCTTTTTTAAATAAAATATAAATACGTATTATACTAATATAATACGTCTGTATTTCAGTTTAAATAATTATTATAACTTTATTAAAAACTTGAAAGATTTCGAAATGTCATCGTATGTTTATCCAGAATGCAAACTTAAACAAACCAGTATACACTACTACAAACTAGAAGGCTCTCTAAGGAACGTCACGAAGATGTGCAGCGTTTTGTCAAAGAAAAGGGAGAGAGCGATTGAGACCGATAGAGAGAGTGAAAGCTAGAATAAAGAAATGACGAGAAATTCTATTTTTAACATTAAAATTTCGTAAAGAGAATTTATGAAATATTAGTATTTTATATTAAATGCAACATAATTTATTGAAATCTCAAATGACGAATTGTAAATTAAAATGCCACGTGTTTTTATTATCGAAGAAATAAATAAAAAAAATTTATAATTTGTATTAATTTTCGACACTTAATATTTTAATGACAATTAAATTCCTAACATATCTTCTTTTTTCCCTCCCTCTATGTCTCGGAAATCTAAAGTAGATTTGTATAATTATGAACAAGACTCAAAAATTAGTTTGCCAAAGAACTTTCACTTCTGATTTTTTTATTTAAATATACACATTGAAAAGCATAAGATAAAATTATACCCCATATGTTTTCACAGCAAGAAGCTAAGTAATTACTGTCCTCTGAGTAACATAATAGATAATATAAAACGCATCTCCGTTGTTTCCTAACGCGATTACTTCGTACATTTATACAACCTTTGAAGCTTATGAAAATATTCTGTCATAACCGTATCATTTAATATAACGTATTAAAGCCTGCCCTGCGATTCTGTAACTCACTTTTTGAACTCACACAGCGGTTTTCGCATCGGCAGTCGCTCTCAAATCAGTCAAATCATTTTATGTGTAATGACAAAAGAAAACGAGGAAGGCAAATAAAAAGGTGGGAAGATGATATAAGTAGAGCAGCTTTTGGCTACGTAAAGCTAGACACCGAGAAGAGTGGAAGCTCTTAGAGGAGCCCTATTTCCAAGGACAAGGTGTAAAACAGCAATTAACCTTGCTGATTAATGATTATTAGTGTCTTCACATTTTTATGTATTTTACAGCAATAAAGGCTATTATTATTATTATATTAAAGCCTGGTTTAATATAGAATGCCAATTTAATTTTATATTTTCTTTATCAACGCTTGAGAGTAGTGTTATCATCATAACTGAGGTCAGTTCGATCCCCAGCTGTGCACCAATGGACTTTCTTTCTATGTGCGCATTTAACATTTGCTCGAACGGTGAAGGAAAACACGACAAGAGGAAACCGACACGTCTAATTCCGCATATACATTCATCCATAGTGAGTAGGGAAGTGGGAAGGACGAGTGTGTAAACGCGATATATGTATTATAGTATCGCGTGAATGTAAAACTGATATTAGACCCAAAAAGTCGATGGCGTGTGTCAGGCACTGGAGGCTGATCACCTACTTGCCTATTAGATTTAAAAATGATCATGGATCAAAAAAAATCTGAGGCCAAAACCTAAAGAGGTTGTAGCGCCACAGATTTTTTTTTTATCAACGTTTTTGTCCAGCAACACAATATCAGCAAAACTATGACCTAAAAATCTACCGACCATACTTTAATCCTACTTGTCTATAAAAATAACAATTAATGAATTGCAGGAATCTAAAACTAAGTGAGACAGCATCTTTTTATATTGTTTATCAATTTGTTCCGTAGTTCTAGTGTTCTAAACATAAAAAAATTGTTTCTATTATATTTTATTTAAGCTTTTGACAGTTTTCAATTTATTTTATTCATTTATATAAAAAATACAAAATAAGATGATAGCTAATCATACAGACGCTAGACTAAAACAGTTAAAGTTTAACGTGTAAACAATTAATAATTTTACATTAACAAAATGTAACATTGAAACTTAAAAACTAAACTAAAATTATGTTAGTAAAATAAACTGCACAAAAATGATAATATATCTATAAATTATAAATAATTTCATGTGTTATTAGAATTATAAAACTTTCATGAATTCATTATATTAATTAAATCTAACCTATCAAATTGATTATAATATATCCTTAACCAGCCGACAATAAATTATACAGCGTAGGTATAATTGCCATAATTACGAAATTTATCAAACACTTTTTATTAATATTCAATAGCACCTTAAGCCTATAAATATTTTATTGCATCCATCTTTAAAGTCTAGAACCAAATATGTACGCAATTTCCTTTAAAGTCAATACAAAAGAGTTCAACAAATGCTACCATTTATTGCCAGAATAATGTTATAATTATGTATGATTCCTTAAATAAATTTGTTGACAAACCTTGATATCACAGATTATAATAAGGATGCGATACTTTGTCGGCTGTAAAAATGTAAAATTCCAGTCCTTATCGTATCTAAAGATGCGTTCACTTAGAAGACCTTACTATCGAATTGACCGTGATACCATTTAAGCTGGTATGGCAATCTTAGTGGTATAAAACCTAGCTCCTTGCATCCATCAGCACAGTTTGTGCCTAACCGGAGCAAACATCACTTAGTTAATATATTTATTAATTTATAAATATGAAACTGGTAAGTAATATTTAAATGGTGAAGTTTGGGATATTTTATATATATATTTTAATTTAAGGGTAGTTTTTAAAACCTGTAGTTGTTAATATTTTATTTATTTAATAACTATATTTTTATTTCTTTAATATATTTACAAAAGTTATTAAATTCTTATTAGGTTTGATATAATTCCGATTCTCTTGTGATTTCTATGCAAATTACGTTTTTTGTCTTATAAACTGATAACGTTCATACTTTTATCAAAGTAGAATGTCAAAAGATCTTCTGAATTTTGTAGAACGTTAACTTTGTGGAGTTTCGCCCCGTCCCATTTTCATTGAATTTTAGAATCAATATGAAATGTTAGTCTAGTCTAAATTTGTCTACATTAATATTTAGAAAGGTTTTCTTTGGCGTATAATGAAGGTTTTTCGTTGACAAGCATATTTTCCAAGTAATATAGGTTTTGATAACAATTTTTCTTCGCAAGTTTCTTTTATTCTCACGTCCCAAATCCTCGAAATAATTGTTTGAATACTTAAGTGTTAGTTGTTTTATATTTAAACTGTCCCCTTTTATATTTTCATATATTGAAATGCGTTTAAGTCATATTTCTAAACATGAGTAATATAAAAATTGCAAATCAAAAAAACATATCGTAAAATTATCTACAAATTTGCTATTAAATATTTCTAATACAAAGTTTCGTCTATAAGATATCGAATCATACGTAAGATAAAGATGGTATAATTACATCAGATTTCACAAGTGCAAATCGAGTGTTTGAGCAAGTGCCCTACAAACTTTGCCCCAAGCTAACTGTCAGACACGAACTACATTTGTTAATGCATTTGGTTATCGGACCAACCAACTCATCAATTTATGAAATATATCAAAAGGTCAATTATATTAGAGTTATAGTTTGTCTGGATCACGTTGTGCAATGCTTAATTCGTAGCTAATATAGGTAAATAGTTTAAAGTTTTAAAAAAACTTTGTTTCATAATTTTGAGCTGTCAAAGCAGTTCATTTGCTAACTTACACAATTTTAAAACTTATAAATGCAATTTTCTTTCTTACAGTTCATTGTTGCCGCCGTTCTTGGTGTCTGCTCAGCAGCCCGCTTAGACAACGCCTACCTTCCTCCTAGAGGAGGAGATGGTGCAGGCTATGGTGCCACAGGTTCCGGTTTCCGAGGATCCAGTTTCGGTTCCGGCGGTAGTGGATTCGGCTCCGGCGGTGGATTCAGCTCTGGAAATGGTGGCTTTGGAGCTGGAAATGCAGGTTACGGTGCCGGCAGCGGTTTCGGAGCGGGAGGCGCAGGCGGTTTTGGAAATGGAGGTGCTGGTGGTTACAATGCGGGTGGTGTAGGTGGTGGCAGACAATCTGCTGACGCCAGTGCTCAAATTCTGAAACTTAACAGGTACTTAACATATTTATGGTACTTTTTCATATGTTTAAGTAAGATTAGGTTCGATTCATTATTAGATTTCTAAGGTATTGAGATATTGGATAATAAACTATTCTGAATGGAACTGACAGGTAAAACTATATAGTCAAGTTACGCAAAGATACTATACATTTTTATATTTAATTTTACTAACAGTGATGTCACCGCCGAAGGCTTTTCTTACGAATACGAAACCTCAAACGGAATCAGAGCCGATGCTTCCGGTGTAGCCACCAATGGAGTCCAGTCGCAGGGAAGCTTCTCCTACAAGGGTGATGACGGTCAGGACTACAGCATCACATACACCGCTGATGAGAACGGCTACCAACCCCGTGGTGCTCATCTCCCTACCCCTCCCCCAATTCCAGAAGAGATTCTTAAGAGCTTGGAGCAGAACGCTAGAGATGAAGCTGCCGGCATTGTTGATGATGGTAAGTTATAATTAGTTAACGTGTTCCTATCAACTATTATGGTATTAACCTTTCCTGGGTAATGCAGCCACGGTTAAGCTTAATTTAGCCTCGCCATTAACTCAGGAGATATTAAAAAGCACAGGTGCTAAGTGACACAAGTGCGTTAGTAAGAGTATTGGTAATCCTCTTTACCTTTGGAAATGAAATAGGTTAATAACAACTCCACTAACTTTCTACTGGTTTTTAGTTTTATATAGATACCTAAACCTACCATTAATATTGTATCGACGCAGTTTTCTTTAGTAACTGACTCAGTACCATATAAACTGACTTACTACCACCCAAAGTGATTATTGGCCTAAAACCAAAGAACGTCACAAATACCGATCGCGCGCCACTGTTTGCATTTTACACTGCATCTTTCACAAAAAACGCTTTTTTAGCACGTAACGTCGTTACGTTACGTCCAACGTAAAAAAAATATTCAATTAACAAAGATGTAAATGCTGGTAGTATCCAAGTAAGCTTGAACGTTACATAACATTTGCATATCTTCATTTGCATTTGTATATTCAACACTATCTCTCATGTCGCTATAAATCTTTGCTAACAGACGTATCAAACGAATCTTTGTTAATATGGGAGAAATTTAATTCCAGTAGGTTGAATAGTAGATTGAAGTTTTAAGAGCATTAAAAATGACGGTGATTCAATTATTATATCTATTGGTCGAGAACTAAAACTAAGTTACCATAAAAGCAATTATGAACAAAAATAGTGATGTAACTTCTGGTCTACTTAATAATAGCAAAAACATAAGTGCTTACGTTTTGGTAATTTAAATTGTACGAACCACACTTTGACCTTCATCACATCAATTGAAGGATAGCGTGACTAAGGTATCTCTCGGTTTAGTTAAAAAAAAATTTAGTTAAAAATTTAAACATAAATTACTTAAACTTATTTAAAAAGTTTTTAAATCAATTTCACATTTTTAGTGCTAGGTTTCTTTACCTCTCTTCCCCTTCTAATGTAGTAAAAATCCAGATAAAAGTCTATTTTTTACAAGAATCTCACGAGTTTTAAGATGACCCTACGTAAAGTGAATCAGTGCGTAATATAGAGATAGACAGCCGAGTTAGGTCGTGATTGCTTAGGTCATTAGGCTAAGATTACATTTAGTCATTAAGTTTACAAATAATTAATATCGCTTTTTTATTACCTCAAAATTTGTATGTTAGCTGACGATTACATCAATAGAGATCAGAATTTTTTCAAACATCATCATAATTAACCAAATAACACTAGGAGTTTTGACGTCGAATCATAAAACTAAAAACTCAATTCAATGAATAGTTTCTGGTATACTACATTGATACATAATAAGTATATTAATCCGATTACACTCTTAAGTAAAGAACTTTTCCGTCTCCTTCTGACAATTGTGTCTAAGCAGTGATAACAAGAGACAGGTGAATGATTAATCGTTGCGTTAAGAGGACTTTTTATGTATTGGGGTACAAAGATTAAAATTGGTTTACGATAGATCAAGAATCTAATTCTTTCTGCTATCGTTAATTAGTCGCTTATCGAACTTACGTAGCTGATTTGCTCATACATTCTTGCACAAGAAGCCCATATTTCGAGTTCATACAAATACGTCAAGATGAGCTGTACGCGTTCTAATTACCAAACGCAGCCTAAACTTCTATTTAAGTAGACCTCAGGTGATGGGTCATTCGCCTAATTGTGCACTAAGCGCGCCAATACACCGTGTAAGCCTGCGAGATAGGGCTGACTAAATCGAATTTTCTGTCTAAAATTGCTACAGGTTTTATTGGGCATTTTACAAGAAGAAATAGGTAATGTTTTATAATAATTAAACACGGATATTTATAACACTTGTTTATACTTTTAACACATTGTTTTGCTACATAAAAGTTGTGGGAAGTTCCGAGACAGTTAATTTTTTTTCGCGAATGACAAGTCATAAAATGTGCAGAAATCAAATAGTTATATCCTTTCTAAAGTATATACGGGAGCCTCAACACGCGAAATTGGCGTTTGGCTGCCGATACCTAAATCTGATTTTCCTTAGACGCAGCCCTAGCGTTGACATTTAATGAGAATACGGGCAATAATGTCGATTACAGACGCTTCAACGAAACAATTAGGCATAAACATTTTGCGGTAATCGGACGTACTCACAAAATTGGTGCAGTTTGAGTCGATCGCTCCCATGTTTGTTCTATGTAGATTTCATTCCTCATGCCCAAACATAGCGCATATGTATGTAGTATAAATAACATCTGTATATCGTATCTTTGTATATATATTATCGTCGTATTTTTAAAGAATGGAGTGTAATATCACCTATTAAAATTAAATGATGTAGCAACATTATGGTCCCAAAAAGTTTGTAAAAATCTCAATGAAGGCACTGCGCGTATTAGGCTATTTTTAACTTTAGAAATTTCTTTTTTATGACTTTTAACTGTAAATATCAATGACAAGTTTTATCAATCTAAGTTTTGTATTTCCAGTTATATAGTTCTTTAATATTTTGAGTTCAGATTCTCAACTGCACAAAAGCATATTTCACAATGGTTAAGTTAAAGGGTAGGAATGAGATCAGAATAAGTTTGCACCTCTGATCGTGACTAGAAAAGGTCGCTACCTGTCATCCGTTTGTGGCTGCAATTAATGAGTCATGCTGATATCATTTTCTATAAGTTTTCTAGTAATGGGTTAGAAATATTAAAACTTCTTAGTTTCGCTTGACAACTATTTTCTTTATTAATTTTGGTTTATTATATTCTATTACTCTTATTTCTTAATAGTTCCGCAATTTGAAATGTTTTCCGATATTTTTGCGTCATTTTTCCAATATGACAGGTTGAAATTCTCAAAAAACAATAAACGAATTCAACATTTTTATTTCTCTGGATAAAGTTTCGTGATAGTCCCTTTTTAATTAATAAAACCTCATTAACAGTTACAACTGTTTAGTTTCCGTTTTTGGAGCTTCATATTATTTTTATTGCGGCAGAAAGCTGATCATCTGTCTATTGAAACTATTGCAGGCACATATTCCAACATTCCAGACTTTATAATACGTATAATTCATCGTGATGAAACTACAATATTCTTAGTTGCAAGTTGCACTATGGCATCATCAAGATTGCTCGAATTACTTAATTTGTACCCTTAATGCGATTCCCACGATTTGAAATATAAAATTGAAATTATATTTTCAAATAAAGTATGAACGTCACGCGGAAACATTATACCCTTTTAACATGTTGACATGGCCTCAAAATAAAAAAAAATAAATAAATCAGTGGCTCTACAACCTCTTTAGGTCTTGGCCTCAGATTTCTGAATCTGTTTCATGATCATTTTTAAATCAGCAAGTAGGTGATTAGCCTCCAGTGCCTGACACACGCCGTCGACTTTTTGAGTCTAAGACATGTCAGTTTGCTCACGATGTTTTCCTTCACCGTTCGAGCAAATGTTAAATGCGCACATAGAAAGAAAGTCCATTGGTGCACAGCCGGGGATCGAACCTTCGACCTCAGGTATCTCGCACGCTGAAGGCACTAGGCCAACACTGCTCAAAAATAATAATAAAACGGCCTCAAAAGGACCACAAAATTTTTCTTTTCACTGTTTTACAAAACAAATTTTATTTCAGTCGAGTTTAAAAAAATACTTTGCAAAAACTACTTTATAGTCCATTATTGCTTTTCTTTTAGCATTGATAATATTGTAATTGTATATTTAATAAACGAGGTCTTTTTAACTTTAATTTTGCACATGAAAACAAATATCTTTATTTAAATAACTATGTTGTTACATTTAGTATCTTAAAAATCTTGTCAAGGTCTATAAAAGAGAGTTTAAAACTTTTATAATAAAGTAATGTATGACAAAATGAGCAATTAATGACAGACATTGTGTGTGATTCACACGCTGATCTCTGTACTAAATCTCACACATTACCTCTGAGAGAGGTTGCTTAGGTTAATTCGCATCACTTAACATACACGAATCTTTTCAAAATTGTGTTAAAATAACAAAAAGTGTAACGAGAGTAAAATTTGATTCATTTGACATATTTAATCACTATTCATTGCAAAATATCTGTCAAAGAAATTAAGTAAGGTAGATTCATGTATATGCGTGCTGCAATAAAGCGTGTCATTTATTCTAGATCAACCTTTTTACTGAAGGCAATTTTACTTGGTATTATCTTTAATTAATAAAAATCAATATATTTACAAAATAAAATTAATTATACACATTTTATTATATATTATAGATTGACTTGACTTAAAGTCCTATGTACCCAAAGTGGGGCAAAGGGCATCCAGCGTAGAAAACCAGCCTATCCTGGGCTAGATATATTATATGATGATTAACTTAAATTGCATCTTCAAATCGGTACAGCTTTGTAATTGTAACGGAACACGACCTTGAGCTTTCGGATGTTACTGGTCCGTTGTGGCCACAACACAGATTTGTGTTTTCATATCAAATAGTCAAAATATACCTTTAGCTCTTAACATTTATACTCGTTACAAAAGAGCAAACACATTTCCAAGCTGCTTCTTTAGATTTATTTAGAGAAAGTTAGCGCAGAAGCCAGACAGGTCATAATTTTAAAGTAGAGTTAATAGTTGGACTACTAGTCCAAGTACAGTCCTTCAAGAAAAGAGCGTACCAATTCTTGAAAGGCCGGCAACGCACTTGCGAGCCTTCTGGCATTGTGAGTGTCCATGGGCGGCGGTATCACTTAACATCAGGTGAGCCTCCTGCCCCTATTACATTTAAAAAAAAGAAAAAACACTACAGCACATAGCTATTTTTTAAATCAGTGCAGTTTTTCGTTCGTTTAGTGTGCTAGATGTTTCAATATGGAAGTTACTAGAGCCCTCATTTTAAATTTTATTATAAATTTTATAACGGTCTTCCAAAGAATGATAATTAATTCAGAGTCAACCAGGATTTACTCAACAAGAATTTTATTTTATGTAAAACTAAAACGCCATTCTCAAAGCTTCATATCATCTGCAATTTGCTATGCACAAAACACGTGCTGTTATTTCGTTGCGAAACATAATTGTTACTGTTTTAAATCGCTCACGTTTGAGCTACTTGTATAACTTTGTTTATCGTTCAAATGGAATATTCATGTAATTCGTATTCGAGTAATTATAATAAATAATTCTTAATATAAACACAAATAATATCTCTGGTGTATAGTTTAAAGTAGAATAAAAAAATGTTATTATAATTCCCCAGTGTATCTAACTCGAGTGAAACCAAACCAGGCTTTTCTTTAACCAAAGCAGGAATACCTCTGCACAACTACCTCCGCTCTCCCCTATCTTCGACAAATGGAAGGGTGATCACATGCTTTATTAAATTTATATTTTCTTTAGGTCAATACCGCGGTGAAGGTGCTGATGCTGGTCGTGGAGGATATGGTGCTCAAGGATCCGGCTATGCCAGCCAGGGATCCGGTTTCAGTGGCCAAGGATCCGGGTTCGGAAGTCAAGGATCCGGTGGACGTGGTTCCAGCTTCGGCGGTCAGGGATCCGGGTATAACGGGCAAAGTAGCTTCGGCGGTCGTGGTTCAGGATTTGGCGGACAAGGTTCCAGTTTTGGAACTCCTTCCAGGCAATACCTGACCCCCAACGCTGGACGTGGATCCGGAAACGGAAACTTCAACGCTCAATCTGGATACCGTTACTAAACGCATCCCTCGGTTGTTTGCTTTTGACCACCGAATTATCTAATTTTTGAAGTTACCAGCTATGACTTTGATGACGTAGTTTAACTTTACAAAAAAAAAAATTAAACCAGTAAAAATTATTAGACCACTATTTCGACTAAAGCCTAAATACACAAATATCACGAGAATGTTAGAATTTCTAAAATCTTCTCTTAAAAAGAGATAGTATAGTTTTGAAAGCACCTTACGTTTTTTTTGGAAAATAGATTTTGTTTTGTTTTTTTTTTTTAAGTTTTAATAATTAAACTAAAGTCATCATTGTTGAGCCCGTTTGTACTCCTAATAAGCTGTGAACCATTTATGTGATTTGCTTTGATTTCGCCAAAACCAACTTATTAACTCAAAACTTTCTTAAATTAGCTTCTATACAAAATTGTGTTATCTGTGGTGAAATCAAGTAGTCCTATGAACTTCGTCTATATTCCCATCCCTTTCCCTCTTCATTAATGATCTCAACCATAACATCTTCCCTCTCTCTTTTAATTGCTTAGAAATAAGTATAGAATACTTGGCAATGTAAATGGACAGTACTAGGTTTAAGCATGACGATGGATTACAAATAAAATATAGCTTTTAATTGTAAATATGATATAAATAAATGTTTTATAGCAAATTTTTTCTTTTGTTTATTAACCGACTGACGTTGGCCGACTGAAGTTTTATTAATTACATTTTAAAAATGTTTTTCAATTATCAATATTTTTTTCGATAAAAGATAAAAAAAACTCAAAACTCTTACAACTTCTAACTTCTTTATAAGAATATGGTAAAAATGGATAGAATTACTAAAATCGTCCACCGATAAAATAAGATGTAACCAAAGGATTCATTTATAGCATTGCAATCTTTTACGGACTAACCATTGATTGCATATGATTCTTTCATAATTTATAGGAAATATATCGAATGGAAAAAGTGAAGTAAGTCTAGTAACAGTACCGCAACTTAAAAATTGTTTTATTGGCTCACCTGATGTTAAGTGATACTTGGACACATACACTCTTAATGCCAGAGACATAGCTTTGTGCATAACGCGAGTGCGTTGCCAGCCTTGTAAAAATTAGTACTCTCTTATCTTAAAGGATACTAAGTCGAATTGGTTGTAAAATGCTTCAGTAAGTAGTTGGTTCCACATATGGTGGTGCGCAGCAAAAACTGCCTTAAATAACGCTCAGTCGTGGAACGACGGACGTCAAGGTGATACAGGTGGTATTTCGTATTCTGCCTCGACGTCCGATGATGAAACTCAGCTGCAGGTTATACTCCAAATAACTCCTCTAAAAACTCTCTATGGTAAATTCGGTAGAAGAAGCAGAGACCCTATATCTCTACTCCAAGGCATTAACCGCTCGGAAAGTGGTCTTTGACTCTTCAAACGGATGGTAAGGGGAGGGCTAACGCGACTCCAGGAGAAAATTCTTGGCTTAACGCCAGTTATGTAACCTAACATTAGTTATGTTATATACATATATATATATGTTTTAGTTAATAAATTGTAAAATGTCTGTTTTGCTAGTAATAAATGAGCCCTTAAGTTTTTTGGTTACTTATATATTTTAACATAGCATTCTCATTTCCGATAATGTACAGTAGGTCGACATCGCTTATATCTTTGTATACAGTACTAGGTAACAGATGGTCATATTCGTAGAATAGTGACGGATCTGACAAATAGTAAACTTTACAGGGCAGCCATTTCATAATAATATAATCATGTTAGTTTTTTTGTCATAACTTTTTTAATTCATATTCTGTAATTATAAAAATTGGCATACAAGCAAACAAAAGGGTTTGTTTTGAAACAAAATAAAAATAATAACATTAAATTACACAGTTTTTTTGAAAATTCACACGCTTCTATGAGCGTACCTATCGAATCCGTCACTTTACCCATTAATTTGAAATTTAAAACACATGGAATTTTTTGAAGTTATACTTCTTTAGGCGCGTTATGAAAAATTGATGAGAGTGAAATTAACAGAATAAAGTTGCCCACGGAAGATGCTACGGCATTGGACATAATTAAAAAACAACATTCGAATAATAATAGAATTTATGTTACACTTAATGTAAGAGAATAATAATAAATATTTATTTATTTAATTTTTCAAATGTAAATTGAACTTTATTGACTATAATGACTCCTTTTCCAGTCTTTGATTATTTAATTGTAATTAATTATTTGCATGCAATCAAAAACTATGTTTAATAATGCCAAAGAAGTATAACTTCTTACCCGCGTACATAAGTGCACGCACTCTTTTTTTAATGTAGCCGTAATTTTTTTTTTTTTTTTTTTATTTTTAAAAGACAATTCACACCAATTGACCTACTCCCATGCTAAGCTGGTGAAGCTTGTGTTATGGGTACTAGGCAACGGATATACATACATATTATAGATAGATAGACATATAAATACATATTTAAACAACCAAGACCTAAGCACAACACCAAATGCTCATAACATCGATGTACGTCTCAGCCGGGGATCGAACCCGGGACCCATGGATTCGCAGTCAGGGTACTAACCACTAGACCATTGAGTCGTAATATTTAGTCAATGTAGTATCCAAATGTGATAAAAACTGGATTTTTGATTTTTTCAAGTTCGACATTGTTCTACTATCATGACGAGTAAGTGACTCATTCACTTTGTTTAAGAACCCATAAATAAAGTTATAGATTTTTGTTGATGTGAGTCGAGCACTCTGTGGTCCTCGCGCGCTGCAGCCCAAGGCTAAAGCAAAAGCAAAAGCCAACAGGCATCGCTGGAGTCGTTGGCAAGCGGCCGGTAGGGATGTCGTTGATCCCTTGGAAAATGGGACGGGCTTTGGTATGAGATGATGTGTGGACACGGCTCACCTCCCTCGAACAAGCAAAAAGCTAAGGGCGCCAAATAATAAACGGTTCAAATATAAGTCAAACTTAGATTTTTTTCCGTAGAGTAGACTCTTGGGCCGTGGGGTTCAAGTGCACGGGCGCTTATTAAAGATTTAAGTTGGCACCTGGTAGATAGTACCGGTGACCTCAGAGCTGGTGCTTTCCTCGCTCAACGAATTAGTATCGCAATACAGCGAGAAAATGCTGCCAGCGTTTACACAGGGTTACACTGCCATAGGTACCAAAATTCTTTAAATTTGTTTTAATTTTCTTTTTATTCTTTTTAATTGTTTTTATTATTATGTAGGTTAAGAAAATTGTAAATACTGTATATTTGGTTGTTATAGATATAGTTTAGGTTTTAATAAACGATAATGTATCTTAAAAAATATTATTGGATATCAAAAGGCTTTCGGGTTATTTTATAAAAATCACTTTATTGTGTAATAGTTTTATAATACTTTTGTGAAAATTTGGCCGTACATAAGCTGTAAATAAATAAATACAACAATTATACAAAAAAAACAAGTCAACATTGCTATTTCCAATAATTATAAAATATCTGTGTCATGTCATTGCGTCTTCAGATAAATTTTAATTCATTTTGTAATTACTAGATACTATGTTGTTTGTGGTGAGTATATAATGAAATAAATTATATAATAAGATGTGATGTATAGGCATAATATGATTTAATAAAGATGACTTAACTTAAAACATTTAAAGCTTGGAAAACTATATACGAAGATATAAAAATAAATTATAATAACGTAAAATAGAATTATGAAAAATTATTTCTAACACCAAGACGGTTCTAATGATCTGTGATATTTGTTTATATTATATATGTTTAAAAAAAATGGCTTTATCTTGTCGGAAGGACAAATGTGATAGGAGGAAAGAATGATGTATGAAATAATAATAATAAAACTTTATTCATGACAGAAATATGGCTGTGACAAAATTCATCTAACCCTAGGCTCCACACTAGGTAGCTCCTGTGTTGTGAGTAATAGGAGGGTAGAAGGACTCTAGATTGTTCAGGCTGTCGAAGAAGAAATAAACAAAACTGCAGGGCTACGCTAAAGAATCTTAGTATAGGGTCACACACAATAATCTATTTAGTTCAAACGAACATCTTATAACCTTTATGCTCTCATAAATAGTCATTAGACTCATCTTAGCCATATACGGTTTTATTCGGAGTTTTTGCGATAGCCAAGTTTGGCTTGAGTCGGAATACCGCAAGATCCTTCACGCATTAGGTAATCTATACATTTTACCGCATCAAACATTATTATACTAATTTATGTATTTCTGTAAATAAATACAAAATATATGATATCAGATATATATTTATTTATTTTACATGGTATATTACAATTGAAAAACCACTGTGTTTTGTTTTAATGTAACAATAGTAGTTTTGTCAGCAGCGCGACAAATTCATATGAAAATAATTCTTCAACTTGTATTTATGTTGATTAACGTTAAGCTATCTAATAACTGACCGGGTTATCGATTTATTAGTATAGATAATCAGTTTTAGAGTCAAATAAAACGATACAAACATTTATTTTGAGTAATTTTTTTGAAATGACAAAATAACCAACTAAAGAGAGTTAAAGTTATGAAATAATAAACCTAAAGTTTAAATAAGTATTACAAATCTTATTGTATCATTTTAAGTTTTAAAGTTTAACAATATACTGTTTTAGTTATTTCGTATCAATGAAGCTTATATTTTATTTCGAAGGCATAGAAGACTGATTACTGCTAATTTAAAAGAATATTATTAAATAAAACACGCGTTGTGTTTTATTGAAAACTTAAAAACCGTTCCCTTAAAAATCTAAATTTTATGTAGTAAGTCCCCATGGACGGGCAGATGCTCGGCCAGTTTTACTTTTTATCCATATCTAGATTGTCAGAATCAATTGACAACTTCATGTAGTTGCAAAATATTGTATATATGAATGATTCATTAGCTTTTCGTGTGAATGAAACTGAGTTTTATGGTACAGATTTATTATTGCACTTAATCCTAGATTGTATTAACGTAAATGTTAATGTTGTAACGT